CTGCTGTTTGTCATTTTTATAAATGACCTGGATGAGGGTGTAGAAGGATGGGTTAGTAAATTTGCGGATGACACCAAAGTTGGTGCAGTTGTGGATAGTGCGGAAGGATGTTGCAGGTTACAGAGGGACATAGATAAGCTGCAGAGCTGGGCTGAGAGGTGGCAAATGGAGTTTAATGCGGAAAAGTGTGAGGTGATTCACTTTGGAAGGAATAACAGGAATACAGAGTACTGGGCTAATGGTAAGATTCTTGGTAGTGTGGATGAGCAGAAAGATCTCGGTGTCCATGTGCATAGATCACTGAAAGTTGCCACCCAGGTTGATAGCGTCGTTAAGAAGGCGTACAGTATGTTAGGTTTTATTGGTAGAGGGATTGAGTTTCGGAGCCATGAGGTCATGTTGCAGCTGTACAAAACTCTGGTGCGGCCGCACTTGGAGTATTGCGTACAGTTCTGGTCACCGCATTATAGGAAGGATGTGGAAACATTGGAAAGGGTGCAGAGGAGATTTACCAGGATGTTGCCTGGTATGGAGGGAAGGTCTTATGAGGAAAGGCTGAGGGTCTTGAGGCTGTTTTCGTTAGAGAGAAGAAGGTTAAGAGGTGACTTGATAGAGACATACAAGATGATCAGAGGATTAGATAGGGTGGACAATGGGAGCCTTTTTCCTCGGATGGTGATGGCTAGCACGAGGGGACATAGCTTTAAATTGAGGGGTGATAGATATAGGACAGATGTCAGAGGTAGGTTCTTTACTCAGAGAGTAGTAAGGGCGTGGAATGCCCTGCCTGCAAAAATAGTAGACTCGCCCACTTTAAGGGCATTTAAATGGTCATTGGATAAACATATGGATGATAATGGAATAGTTTAGGTTAGATGGGCTTCAGATTGGTTTCACAGGTCGGCACAACATCGAGGGCCGAAGGGCCTGTACCGCGCTGTAATGTTCTATGTTCTAAAAGCAATAGGTGGGAGTGGGGTGGATATAAATTATGAGACTAAGCTTGTAAGAAATATTAAAAAAGATTTCAAGAGTTTTTTTTAAAAAGGTGTATAGAAGGTGAGAGAGATGCAGGAGCAGATATTGGAGCCTGGAAAACAAAGCTGGAGAAGTAGTAATAAGGAACAAAGAAATGGCAGGGGAACTGAATAGGTATTTTACATTAGTTTTCACAGTGGAAGACATCAGCAGTGTACAAGAACTTCAGAAAAGTCAGGGGCAGAGGTGAGTGTAGTAGCCATCACTAAGGAGAAAGTGCTGGGGAAGCTGAAATCTCTGAAGGTGGATAAATCATCTAGACCAGCCAGACTATACCCCCACGTTCTGAAGGAGATAGCTCAGGAGATTGTAGAGACATCGGTGGTGATCTTTCAGGAATCACTGGAGTCACAAGGATTCCAGACAGAGGACAGGAAACCAGAGGCTGGTTAGCCTGACCTCAGTTGTTGGTAAGATATTAGAGTCCATTATTAATGGACGAGATTGCAGAGCACTTGGAAGTGCGTGGTAAAATAAGGCTGAGTCAGCATGGCCACATCAAGGGTGGGACAGATAGGTGGGAAGGAAATGGACAGGTAGTGTCAGGTCAAGGAGGCAGGGATGAGCGGGAGTATTGGGCATGGGGGGATTGGTCCATGTCCAACCCTTTATAAGGCTGGTAGCCTGTGACTAGTGGAGTTCTGCAGTGTCAGTGTTGGGTTCACATTCATTCCGATTCTACATTAAGATCTGGATGAAGAAACTGAGGGCATTATTGCTAAGTTGCAGATGACACAAAGATACGTGGACAGAAGTGGTAGTGTTGGCAAGGCTGGAAAAGGGCTTGGACAGGCTAGGAGAGTGGGCAAAGAAGTGGCAGGGGGAACACAGCGTGGGAATGAGTGAGGACGTAACAAAGAGTAGATAAATGAGAATGAGTAGATTAAGTGTATTTGCGTTCCCAGAAGGCATTTGATAAGATGCTGCATAAAAGGTAGAAGATTGTGGAAGATACGAGTTCACGGTATTGTGGGCAATAAAGTTTTTGAGAAGATTTGTGGCTTGTGTTGTGGATGAGGTTGTAGACTTGCTTGCTGAGCTGGTGTGTTTGGTTACAAACATTTCATCACCCTGCTCGGTAACATCGTCAGTGCACCTCCGGTGAAGTATTGGTGTTCTGTCCCGCTGGTTATTTATATGCCTCGGTTTGCTGGGGTGGTTGGCATTACTTCCGGTTCTGTTCTTCGGTGGTTTGTATATCAGGTCCACTTTAATATGTTTGTTGATGGAGTTCTGGTTGGAATGCCAGGCCTCCAGGAATTCCCTGGCATGTCTCTGTTTGGCTTGTGCTATTACGGATGTGTTGTCCCAGTCAAATCAGGAAGGCAGACACCCCACGACGCCGACAGCAACAATAAGGACAGCATCCTGAAACTATTAGATCTGGGCCACACAACCCACTTCACATTCAATGGCCATATATTTAAACAAATCAATGGAACACCAAGGGATCCCCAATATCAGGATTGATTGCAGAAGTGGTAATGCATCAGAGGAGCAGGAGGGTCGACATTTTGGGCCTAGACCCTTCGTCAGGACTGGAGAGGGGGAAGGGAGCTGGGAAAAGAGCGCTGTCCGCTATCCAACCCAAACTCTGGGCCTGCTGTGTCGGTGACACCTTCGTGATTATCAAACGCATAAGACAAGAAGAAACATACCAACACAAACAACATCCTCACTGGAATAAAATTCACAAAAGAAGAAGAGAACAATAACCAACTACCCTTCCAAGACATAATGGTGGAACGTAAGAACAACGGGGAACTCCAGACAAGCGTATACAGAAAGAGCACACATACGGACCAGATACTTCATTACACCAGCAAACACCCTAACACCCATAAACGGAGCTGCATCAGGACCTTATTCAAACGAGCCACAACATACTTCAGCAACCTGGAATTGCGCAAAGCAGAACAGGAGCACTTATACGGAGCTTTTAAAAGGAATGGATACCCAAATACCACTATCCGCCATTACCTCCATGACAGACCACAACAAGACGACACAACGTGGTCAGACACTCTGGTCACCCTACCGTACATCAGGGATATATCAGAGATGACCACAAGACTACTCAGACCCCTAGGTATCAGTGTAGTTCACAAACCAACAACCACCCTGCAACAGCTACTGACGAACGTAAAGGATCCCATTTCTACAACCAATAAAACTAACGTAATATACAAAATACCATGCAAGGACAGTGAGAAACATTACATAGGCCAAACGGGAAGAAAACTTACAATATGGATACACAAACACCAACTAGCCACCAAGAGACACGACCAGTTCTCACTGGTCTCAATACACACAGACGAAGGAGGACACAAATTTAACTGGGACAACACATCCATAATAGCACAAGCCAAACAGAGACATGCCAGGGAATTCCTGGAGGCCTGACATTCCAACCGGAATTCCATCAACAAACACACTGAAGTGAACCCAACATACAAACTATTGAAAAACAGAACTGGAAGTAATGCCAACCACCCCAGCAAATCGAAGCACATAAATAATAAACAGGACAGAACACCAACGCTTCACTGGAGGCGTGCTGACGACGTTACCTAGCAGGGTGGCAAAACGTCTGCAATCAAATACACTGGCTCGGCGAGCAAGTCAGCAGCACCTCATATTCCGCCTTGGGAGCCTACAACCCAATGGTCTCAATGTGGACTTTACTAGCTTCAAAATCTCCCCACCCCTTGGCCTCATCCAGTGACCAACCCTCCCTCTCATCCCCGCCTCTTTGACCTGTCCGTCTTCTCTCCCAATTATTCAGTCCTCCCACCTCACTGGCCAATCCCCACCACTGCCTACCTGCATCCACCTATCACCATCCCACCAACCTTCCCCAGCCCCATCCCTTCTCTACTTATTTCAAAGCTCTCTTCCCCCTCCCCCATTTCTGAAGAAGGGTCCTGTCCCAAAACATCAGCTTTCCTGCTCCTCTAATGCTGCCTGGCCTGCTGTGCTCCACACTGTGTTATCTCTTACTCCAGCATCGGCAGATCTTACTAAGTCTGCAATCTCATTGTGGGCAATATGAAATGAGTATTGGTTAACACACAGAAGACAGAGTTGGAATTAACAGGTCATTTTCAGGTTGGAAAGATATGGGACCTGGGTGTTCTTGTACATGAAACATGTAGAGTATTCTGTACAGATCTGATCCCTGCACTCAAGGAAGGATATACTGGCATTGGAGGCAGTTCAAGAAAGATTCACAAGAAAGATTTCTGGGATGTTGACTTATCAAGAAGAGTCAAACAGGTTAGGTCTTTAATCATTAGAGTTTACAAGAATGAGGATGATCTTAGTGAAACATACAGCATTTTGAGGCAGTTTGACAGGGTAAAGGTGGAGAAGATGCTTACACTGGTGGGGAAATCTCAAACCAGGAGACAGGTACAAAATAAGGGATCACTCATCTAGAGCTGAGATGTGAAAGAATTTCATCTCCCAAAAGGTGGTGACAGTCTGGGATACTCCACCCCAGTGTGTTTTGGAGACTAGATCACTGGAAGTATTTAAAGAGGCGATAGTTAGATTTGAAGAGCTGGCAAGAAAAGGAGGTTGAGGCCTGGGGCGGAACAGCCATGATCTTGTTGAATCTAGGGCAGGCTTGAGGAAACAAATGGCCTCCTCCTGCTCCTGTCTCTTACACTGTTACTGATGTTAGTTAATATTACATTGTACATCCCTGGTTGGTATGCTTCCTTTGTACAACATTTCCATGGTTCCAAAGGTCTTGAATGTGTTACGTTCTAAACAATATTTATTATTTGTCAATACTTTCAGGAATACCATTTGAACTCAAATAGACATCCAGCTGTTTTTATATAAATACACTAAATAAGCTTCAACTAAATCCATGTCATCTATCTAATACTCTTGGGGATTAAAAGCGATAAAAATCCCTTGCTTGTTTGCGTTTAACTGAAGACAAAATATACCTGCAATCCTGATGCTGCTAGGTATTGGATTTTGAACTTTACTCTGATTGGAGGTTTTGCTTCAGGTTCTTCTGCCTCGACACTTGGCAGTCCCAGATGGGCCTTCATCATAAATTCTTTTCCTCCCTGAAGTAATAATGCAATGGGTCAGTAAAAATGGATAACTAGAAGTTTAATTTACAGCTTGTATTTTGTGTGTTAAGAAGGGCAAATCATGGGTGTGATTACAATTTTAAGAGCTGAGATTGTGAGCCTGATGCGAAGAAGTCTGGAGTCCTGTTTGTATACAGGCATTTTTAATGAGGTTTTACAACCCCTGAAGTGAGTAAATGGAGTGTTAGTAGTTTAGTGCATTTAAAGAAGGTGGAAAACAAAACCTTGTGACAGGGATGAAGAAGAATCCATAAGGGAGAATATGGGGGGTAATGCTGCAAGACTGCTGGAAACTGAGTAAAGAGAACTTGTGTTTGCTCTGAAGTTTTAAAAGATTGAAAGATTTCGGGCCCTCAGAAAAGTAGCACGAGGAACAAATCTTGGAGGAATACACACTGACAGATTGTTTCATGTAGTAAAACACAAATAACAGGAATGACTGAAACCACTTACTAACGGACATTATTGACAACTGTAGTGGTCAGGAATTTTTAGTTAAATGCACACAGAACAGCATTGCCCTTTTCAAATAACCAGTCACAATTTTTTTAAAAAAAAGTTACAGTTAGGCTTTGTGACTTTTATCTGAATCCACAAAAAGTGGCAATGAAATTACTGATTTATGGCAAAAGTCAATAGTTGAATAAATACTTTGATCATGGTTTGTCGCAGCATGATCACTTCTCAACAGGAACCATCTGAGAAAAAATATTATAAAGATTTTCTGGATCCAGAGTTTTGGCAGATAACATTGCAAGGACCCGGTCCACAAAAGTTGACAGCACAACTAAAGCTGTTTGAAAATTTTCACAGTAATGAAGACGTTAACACAATGTTAGTTGACTCTCAAATGTCAACATATCCTAATATAAAATTAGAACTGTAACACTAAAGAAATCTCGACAAACGTGAGGTGCTACATTTTGGTAGGGCAAATGAAGGCAGGACTTGTACACTTAATAGCAAGGTCCTGAGGACTGTTGCTAAACAGAGACCTTGGGGTGCAGGTTCACAGTTCCTTGAAAGTGCAGTCGCAGCTACACAGGGTAGTGAAGGTGGCGTTTGGTATGCTTGCCTTTACTGGTCAGTGCATTGAGTGTACGAGTTGGGAGGTCATGTTGCGACTGTATAGGACATTGGTCAGGCCATGTTTGGAATATTGCTTTCAATGCTGGTCTCCCTGCTATAGGAAAGATATTGTTAAATTTGAAAGGGTTCAGAAAAAATTTACAACTTTGAAGCTATAGGAAAGGCTGAATAGACTGGGGCTATTTTCCCTGGAACGTCAAAGGCTGAGGTGTGACCTTATAGAAGTTTATAAAATCATGAGGAGCATGGATAGGGTGAAAAGCCAAGGTCTTTTCCCCAAGGTAGTGGAGTCCAAAACTAGAGGGCATAGGTTTAAGGTAAGAGGGGAAAGATTTAAAAGGGACCTAAGGGATAACTTTTTCATGCAGAGGGTGGTGCATGTTTGGAATGAGCTGCCAGGGGAAGTGGTGGAGGCGGGTATAATTACATTTAAAAGGCATTTGGATGGTTAGAGGAATAGGAAGGGTTTAGAAGGATATGGGCCAAATGCTGTCAAGTGGGATTAGATTCATTTAGGATGTCTGATCAGCATGGATGTGTTAGGGTCTGTTTCTGTCTTGACATCTGTATAACTCTATATCCATTATTCCTCACAAGAACCCAATTCCAGTTTTTCAATTGGAGAAGTCACAAAACAGGCAACAGTGCTTCTCTAAAAGGGAATCAAAGGAAGACTGAGATCAGGCTTGTTGATGTTACTCCTGTCACTGCGGGAATTATGTTGTTCTGTATATGAATGTCAATGTGCGAATAGTTCTGTATAAAATTGTCCACACACAAGCATACTTGCACCAGGAGTTAATGACAGAAAAGAACCAAAACTCAAAAAAGTGTTCGGTTTCTTTATAAAGCTTGAATTCTTTCTGAAATTAAGAGAAATAAAAATTGAAAATGTTTTACTTGAAACAATTCCTCTTTAATGACAATCATCTGTAGCCAGCTATCAAATTGTCTATTAGTCAGGTCTGTTTATTGGGGACGATGTGTTTAATAATGGACTTACCTGAATAGAATTTATAGACCAGATGATAACACTGTCCTCAGGTACCCATTCTATGCAACCTTTAGTTGTGCTGAATTTTGGAGACGAGGCATCGGTGGGGACAGGAATGATGATGGCAACATCTGTAGCAGTCAGACGCTCTTTAAACTTTCCTTTAACCTGCAACATCATAAATATAGTCAACTGGAGAGGAACTTTCTTTCTCTGTGTCATAATTGATACATTTGAGTACGGACCTAATTTAATGGCTCAGTGAGTAATAACTACTCGACATGGCACTGATCCTCACAAACCAGTAAAATTCCCTTTCAACCCCTGACCTTATTAGGTTAGTTACTAAGCTTAATGCATGATTTTTTAAAAAGTATTATAATTAAATGGTTATCAAATTGTCATGTTTGGGACAGTATTTTTAAATTTAGGGCAATATGAACAGGATTGTTTTTCAGTCAGCCTGGATGAAACAAAACAGAAATTGCTGGTGAAACTCTGCAGGTCTGAGGCATTTGTGGGGAGAAAGCACAGTTAATGTATCAAGTCCAGTGATTCTTCATCAGAACTGAGTGAATCTGCCAGCAATTGCAGTTTTGTGTTTCAGGTCTCCAGCATCTGCAGTCCTTTGTTTTATTTTAGTTAACCTGGATGGTTTGATTGTTAGTGATCAAAGGAAAGCTAATATTGTTTCACAGGGAATAGGTACATTATATTAATGTGCTGAGACAATGGCAGCAGCCTGTGGAAACAAAGTCCCAAAAAGGTATTGGTGTTGTACCGCAAAACATTGAACTACTTGTAAGATGAAGAAGAGTTAAGATCAATAACAACTTATCAATCTTTCTAGAACAAAGACAGAAATTTCTGGAAAAGCTCAGCAGGTCTGGCAGCATCTGTGAAGAAAAATCAGAATTAACAATTCGGGTCTAGTGACCCTTCCTCAGAACTAACTTTTCCTTCACAGATGCTGCCAGACCTGCTGAGCTTTTCAGCAACTGTTTTTGTTCCTGATTTACAGCATCTGCAGTTCTTCCGGTTTTTAATTAATCTTTCTATTCGGATACAAGACTAATGTCTTTCATGATGCTATGAAGAGGAAGTCTGAAGAAGCCATTCATAAAACTCAGTTTATAGGATTTTCCAAGAATAGCTCTGCATATCATACTCTTTATAATATACCTGGATCAAGCAAAGATGGAGAGGCTAGGGGCCATAAGAGTCTCGACGGTTTGCAATGCAAGTGTGAGTGGAACCTCACACTCTGACTGAAAAGATCAAATTTGAGGGGAGTTAAAATAAGGCTAGAATAATGTGCCTCTAGTTGAAGCCAGATCAGTTTCTGAGAAAATAAAACCTCACTGTGAAAGAGTTCTAAGGTTATGAGCAGAATGAGAAAAGAGCAGGAAAAAAAAAACCTCAGAAGCCAAAAGTCACCATAGATCAATTCTAGGAAAATTGAACATCCACATTCAGTGCAAGCTGACAAACTATTTTTAGGTCTGGCTAAAAATAACATGAGCGGTATTCAATTGTTTGGTTTAAAGTATAAGTTGTCTAGTTTCACTGACAGTGGATGGGTGTAATTTTCACCCTTGGAGTGATGGGTTTAATTTTACATATGCTAGCAGTAAGCTTTCAGTATTTAAAAATGGAAAGGCTGGTTTATTATTCATGTTTGTCCTAAAGATTACGAAAGAAACCATGTCTCATTCACTCTCTTGTATAGATACACACACGCACACTGCTCCCCCTATAAATAAAAAGGTACAGCAAGTAAAAATAATACTTGTCAAAAGTGGAATCAAGCTCAGTCTCCATTTGACTGCAGGCACATTGTGGCTTCATAGTTTAATCAATAAAATTACAAAGATATCCTAGCAGTTGCAATCTGCCAGAGGTTAGATTCAGAAGTAAGTTTGAAGATGGAATGCCATAGGGGAGACATTAGGTCCTTGTTTCCTTTTCAAGAGGCTGCAGAGAAGCACTCTAGCTATCCAATTAACTGCAAGTAGCCTGATAGCTTTTTGCAGAACATCTTTCTCTTCCAGATCAACAGCTGTGTCTGAACGTGGTTTTCTTTATTTTAAAGAGGTTGGAAAGATGGTCACTGCATCATGTAATGTGGACAATGTTCCAATAATTTGTTGCATCATCTCTCATCTGCTGTGATGGCTCTTGCATCTTAATGTTTCCTATCAGTTAAATGCCCTTGTACTTGAAAGGAAGGCCATTAAAATCAATTTGTGAATAACTATTCAATTCTGATGTTTTTCTTGGATGGAAATATCTCCTTTTGTTTCCTCTAGGGACAATGGACTGTTTGTATCCACAAGAAGAGTCAGGTGATCTAGGAATCAATTTTGAATCAGGTTTTTAAATATAATCAGTCTAATTTAAAACAAAAACATTAAAAATACAGTTTAAGATGTATAAAACTTTCACAGAAACACCATCATGATGCAACAAAGATAGTGTTTTATCAACAATGCGTTAGATGTTCGTAATGTCTTAAAACTTCAAATCTTGACGGGCCATTCTTCCCATTCATTTTTAAAATTTATTGGTCACGATGGATACAATTAGTTTCAGCCTCCTGTTCTAGGAAAGGGATATGTTAATGAGATTCTTGTCTCTGATTTCTGTCTAATTACTCCTTCAGGAAAACAAGTGAAATTTGGAGATAACACAGTATGGAGTTGGAGGAACACAGCAGGCCAGGCAGCATCAGAGGAGCAGGAACGTTGACGTTTCGGGTCGGGACCCTTCTTCAGAAACGGGGAGGGGGAAGGGAGCTCAGAAATAAATACTGAGGAGTAGCAGCACTAGGGAAGGTAGGTGGGATGGTGATCGGTGAGTGCAGGTAGGGAGTGGTGGGGATTGGTCAGTGGGGTGGGAGGAGCAGATAGGTGGGAGAGAAGATGGACAGGTTATGTCAGGTCAAGGAGGCAGGGATGAGAGGGAGGGTTGGACATGGGATGAGGCTGGGGGAGGGGAGATTTGAAAACTGGTGAATTCCATGTTTAGGCTATTGGTGGAATATGAGGTGCTGGTCCTCCAGTTTGCGGCTGGTGTCATTGTGACACTGGAGGAGGCCCAGGATGGACATGTCACCCAGAGAGTGGGAGGGGGAGTTAAATAGTTGGTGACTGGAAGGTGTTGTCGTTGGTCACATACAGAGCACAGACGCTCTACAAAATGGTCCGAGTCTATGCTTGGTCTCACTGACGTAGAGGAGGCCACATCGGGAGCTGCGGATGCTGTAGACCACATTGACAGATGTGCAGGTGAACCCCTGTCTAATGTGGAAGGTTTGTTTTGTGCCTTGAATGGAGGTGAGGGGGGAGGTACAGGGGCAGATGTAGCACTTCCTGCGGTTGCAGGGAAAGGTGCCGGGGGTCGTGGGGTTAGTGGGGAATGTGGAGCACATGAGGGACTCGCAGAGACAGTGGTCCCCACGAAAGGCAGATAGTGGTGGGGAGGAAAATAAATCTTTGGTTGTGGGGTCAGATTGTAGGTTGCAGAAGTGGTGGAGAATGATATGTTGGATGCGAAGGTTGGTGGGGTGATGTGAGGACAAGGGGAATTCTGTCTTTATTTTTGTTGGGCGGAGGGGATATGAGGGCAGAAGTGCAGGAAATATAAGAGATACGGTTGAGGACATTTTTGATTACCAGAGGGGGGAGGTTACAGTCCTTAAAACAGGAGGGCATCTGGAATGTGCAGGAGTGCAACACCCCATCTTAGGAGCAGATGCGGCAGAGGCGGAGGAATTGGGAGTAGGGGATGGCATTCTTGCAGAAAGATGGGTGAGAGGTGGTGTGGTCTGTGTTGCTGTGGGAGTCAGTGGGTTTGAAATAGATGTCAGTTTCAAGGCAGTCCCCAGAGATGGAGACGGAGGTCCAGGAAGGAGTGGGAGGTATTGGAGATGGTCCAGGTGAATTTGAGGTTGGGGTGAAAGGTGTTAATAAAGTTGATGAACTGTTCAAGCTCCTCATGGGAACACGAGGTAGCACTGATAGAGTCATCAATGTAGCGGAGGAAGAGGTGGGGGATAGTGCCAGTGTAACGGCAAAGAGGGACTGTTCCACATATCCTACGAAGAGGCAGGCAATAGCTTGGGCCCATGTGGGTGCCCATGGCCACCCCCTTAGTCTGTAGGAAGTGGGAGGAGTTAAAGGAGATGTTGCCACGGTGCTAATGAAGAAGAGTGATCTCCAAAACTATATGCTTTAGGTCACCATTGCACACACTTTAACAGGAATGGCAAATGGCACTTAACTGGTCAAATATAAGGTAAGGTTAGGTAACAGACATAAGTGACAATTTTTAACTAAATGGCTCTTCAGAGTACAATATAGCTGAAAGATCTTAGCTATAGGTAGCTCCCTGAAACTAACAATACAGAATGCAATATATAACTGCAAGGAAACATAACTACTTGTTCTATATGTTGAGCTACATAGCAAAAGAGAATACAAAATCCATGCCCTATTGTTCCATGATTGGTTTGGGCAGATACTATTTTATTTACTTATTCATGAGATATGGCCATTGCCAGCACCTATCATCTATCAGAAGGTGGCAGTGAGCTGCTTTCTTGATCCACACTGCTGTTAGGGAGAGAATTCCAAGTGTTGCTACATTTTAACACAATTGCTTCAGCAGATGAGGGTTTGCAAATGGTGCTGAACATTGTGAAATCATCACCAAACATCCCCACTTCTGATCTTATGATGGATGGAAGGTCATTTTGATGAAGCAGCTGAAGATGGTAGGGCCTTGGATACTGCCCCAAGGAACTCCTGCAGCAATTTCCTGAAATGATTGACCCTAAACCACATCCATCTTTCTTTGAGCCAAGTATGATCTCAACCAACAGAAAATTTTCCTGCCAATTCCCAGTGACTCTAGTTTTGCCATATCTACTTGATGCCACACACAGTCAAATGCTATGCAGATGTCAAGGGCAGTCATGTTCTTTAATTATGAGTTTTCTTTTTACACCACCAGGTCTCTTGTTCTGAGCTTAATAACTATAAAAAGACTAACTAAACATTCAGTTTATGCCATAAACCAAACCATTCAATTTCTTACCTTTGCTGTGATTTCTATTCTGCTGTGTGTGTATCGCTGCACATTTGCTTCAACAAGTAGGTATGGTTGGACCTGAACAGACACGCACACGTTATCAATATAATAAATTTCTAACTTGAGCAGTTTATTCAATTAACTAAATATAAAATTACAATTTAATTGAATACATTTTTCCTATGAATATTTAAATCTACAACATTTGTTCTGTTGGAATTTTTCAACAAATTAATTGCTACTATAATGACCAATTCAGTAACTACAAGACTAAGGCCTGGACTTTTTCTGCCAATGCATAGTTTGTCAAGAAATTTCCTGACTTGCTGGGCCCACTTGGTAGATACGTTGCTATTTCCTCTCTAGCTGTACGATGGAGTCAGGACTGTTGACCCCAGAAGCTGAGTTTTGGTGGATAGAAAGATGGCCGAATGCCAAGTTGAGCTGGTTTGATTATCCACCTCAATTGTAAAACCCAATCGGACCCTCTAGCCCTCACCCTCAAACCCTATCAACTATATGGCTCATTGGTTCTGTATATAGTGTACACAGAATAAATGGCCATGAGTTGATATGGGAATCATGACAGGAGTGCAATGGGTCGTGGGATGGAATTAAGGGTGTATGTGAGTAATGAAAAGGCCACAGGGACTCAGCTTTTGAACTTGCCTTTCAGACAAAAGGTTCCCAAATCCAGGCTATGGTTCTCAACACCTCTGAGGAGCTATGGATGATGAGATTCATGGAGAAGCTGGTGCAATTCCACATACATTCTGGGGCTTATGAGATGTATACCTGCACATTGAAACCATTTAGTTTGCAAGTGAAGAGTACAGGCTCACAAACCAAATCAGTGAAAACTTGGGCATTGGGAGTAGAGGTGGCAGTCCCAGAACTGGGTACGACCTGCTATTTTAAATTGGCTCAGAAGCAAATCCCCGAAAATCCAGATCCAAGGCTTTGCAGATATGAGCTCAAACAGCATGTCATAGTCAACAATATTGTTTCTGTATTACCTTTACGTATCAGAATACATACCCGTCAAATTAATGGAAGTTGGATCTCAAATATTAACAGATGAGCCCCTCACCACTAAGTTGAGACTAGCATTTAAATCTAAACATTCACCCAGATCTTTGAAGAAGCAGCAATCATCATAAGATTGCCACCCCATTAATCTTCCATCTGACTTGACACTGCCCCACATTTATTGCCAGTGGGAGACATGTGGTGTCGGGTGAGGTGGCAATTGGGTGAGAAGGTCATTATGAGTAACTGAAGGGACAGTTCGGGAGTTACCAGAAGTTAGACTAGGTCCTTTCCACCTAACAACCCTGGGCAACTATTTGGGATATTCCAGAAGGAATTCCTGACAGTAATTTTAAAGAACTCTAAACATGGGAACACTGTAAAATAAGGTGCTTTAACAGATCAGAATCAGTGGGCAGGTATGGCCAAATGTCACACACTGCTTCCAATGAGAAGCAACAGGCAGCTTCCTAATGCTGGACAGCCTGTAGGAGGTCATTCAGCACATCAGGAAAGGAGATGCCCTCTCAGCACTCAAACTCTCACCACACAAATAGCCACTGCAGCCATACCACTGTTGTGGAAGGATATACCTGTAGGGTGGCTGGGGGCTGGCCAGGATAAAGATGGGGTGGGAGAGGGTGGAAGTGTGTGGGGGCAGGGAGGCATTGCTTCAACAGTGAAACAGAGTGCTGCCATTCCCCACCCAAGACTGCTGATGGGATGTCACTTCCTTTCACTGTGTAGTGATTCCAGGGGCCTGCTTGGCAACTGAAATCATGTTTGACCAACTTGCTGGTGTTTTTTTTTTGGAAGAAGTAATAAAAAGGATCTATAAGGGCAATGCTGTTGATGTGTGAATAGATTTTCAGCAGGTGTTTGGCATAGTGCCACACAATAGACTTATGAGAAAAGTTACAGCTTACAAAATAAAAGGGACAGTAGCAATGTGGATAAATCATTAGCTGAGTGATTGGAAACAGACAGTAATAGTCGATGGATATTTTTCAGGCTAGAAGGTGGTTTGTAGAGGAGTTCCCCAGAGTTCAGTGTTGGGACATTTGCTTTTCTTGATGTATAGTAATGATCGGGATCTTGGTGCATGGGGGACAATTTCAAAGTTTGCAGATAGTATGGAACTTCGAAGCATTATAAGGAACAGCGTAGAATTTCAATAGGATGTAGACAAATTGATGGAGTAGACAGATAGAATGGCTAATGAAGCTCAATGCACAGAAATGTCATGTGTGATATGTTTTGGTAGGAAGAAAATGGACAGACAATATAAAATAAGGGATACAATTCTAAATGGAGTGCAGGAGCACGGGGACCTGGTGTGTATGGGTACAGATCATTGGAAGTGGCAGGATGGGTAGAGAGAGCAGTAAGTAAAACATACGGTATCCCTAGTCTTTTGTTAATAGAGGCATAGAGTACAAGAGTAAGGAGACGATGTTGAACACGTATAAGACCACTTATTAGATCTTATCTGGTGTATCATGAACAATTCAGGATGCCAAATGACATGAAGGATGTGAAGGCATTGAAGAGAATGCGGAAGAGATTTACAAGGGATGAGAAGCTTTAGTTATGAGGACAGGTTGAAAGGTTGTGACTGTTGTTCTTGGGACAGAAAGTGGCTAACTAGAGATCTGATAGAAATTTTCAAAATTATGAAAGGAGCTGAACAGAGTAGACAGGGACAAAACTGATCCCACTCAAAAAGGATCAGGTGATTTGCAAAAGAAGCAAATGTGATGTGGGAAAGAACGTTTCCCACAAACGGTTCAGGTCTGGAATGCACTGCCTGGAAGCATGGTGGAGATAGGTTCATTGAGGCATTCAAGAGAGCATTGGATGACTATTTAAATTTGGAGAAAAGACATTAGAGTGGCACTATGTCTCAATTCTGATTTGAAGAGCCAGGGGAGACATGATTGGCTGAATGTCCTCTTTCCGTGCCTATCTCTTCTAAGACTCTGGTGATCCACGCCCTGAACCAGCCTCCTCAGGAATGATCTGCGGGTACCATCATGCCAGTAAACCGTCAGGTATGTGTGTTCACTTGTTAAAAAAGATGATCCAAGGACAAGACAAATACGTAGCAGCATGATATGCCACAAATTCACAGAGTTCCTTCCTCAGATAAATCGCATTGGAACTCTTTTACATGTTATATTGCACATTATTATTATAATACATTAATAAAATTGTTCAGATCTTACTCGATTGGTGACTCGATATGACATCAGCTCAAATTCCTTGTCTGGTGGGATGAAGGAGATGACACGTTCATTTTCAAAGCGAGACAGCCGTACACAAGAATGAAATTTTGTGTCCTCAAAGTCCACTACATTAGCATTTCCTCCTTTGGAGCAAAAAGGGAGATATTGATGAGGATTGACACTCTTAATTCATTTATCTATGAGTGAATTGTGTTAAATCATTTTAATTTTTTTTAAATGAAGTAAATTTACATGACATGAGTTTCATCTTTTCTGGCAGAAACGTCTTCTTGGATTTTGATCTTCATATTGTATAGTTATTTGGATTCCAGAACTGAACTTACCTGTCTATTGATTTCCAAATGTAAAACTTTAAAAGTAAAATGTAGCTATGAAAATATTTTTTAAATTTGGACTTTTAACACTATACCACAATAGAATTGACATTTTACCAATCAACAACCCTGTCTAAAGCAAGCACTTGCTCTAAAAAACAACACGTCAGAGAAGTAGAGATAACGCAGTGCGGATCTGGAGGAACACAGCAGGCCAGGCAGCCTCAGAGGAGCAGGCAAGTTGACGTTTCGGGTCAGGACCCTTCTTTAGAAATGGGGGAGGGAGAAGGGAGCTCAGAAATAAAGAGAGAGAGGAGGGGTTGGGCTGGGGAAGGTAGGTTGGATAGTGACAGGCAAGTGCAGGTAGGGAGTGGTGGGGATTGGTCAGTGAGGTGGGAGGGACGGACGGATAGGTAGGAGAGAAGATGGACAGGTTGTGTCAGGTCAAGGAGGCTGGTTGAGAGGGAAGGTTGGACATGGGATGAGGCTAGGGGGTGGGGAGATTTTGAAATTAGTAAAATCCACATTTAGGCCATTGGGCTGTAGGCTCCCAAGGCGGAATATGAGGTGCTCCTCCTTCAGTTTCCGGGTGGCATCATTGTGACACTGGAGGCGGCCCAGGATGGCCCAGTCAGGCTCCACACTCCCCACTAACCCCACCACCCCTGGCACCTTTCCCTGCAACCGCAGGAAGTGCTAAACCTGCCCCTACACCTCCCCACTCACCTCCATTCAAGGCACCAAACAAACCTTCCACATGAGACAGGGGTTCACCTGCACATCCATCAATATGGTCTATTGCATCCGCTGCTCCCGATGTGGCCTCCTCTAAATCGGTGAGACCAAGCGGAGGCTTGGGGACCGCTTTGTAGAGCATCTGCACTCTGTATGGGACAAACATCAATGCCTTCCAGCTGCGAACCATTTCAACTCCCCCTCCCACTCCCACTCCCTGGGTGACATGTCCATCCTGGGCCCCCTCCAGTGTCACAATGACACCAGCCGAAAACTGGAGGAGCAACACCTCATATTCCGCCTTGGGAGCCTACAGCCCAATGGCCTAAATGTGGATTTTACCAGTTTTAAAATCTCCCCACCCCCGGCCTCATCCCATGACCAACCCTCCCTCTCATCCCTGCCTCCTTGACCTGACACAACCTGTCCATCTTCTCTCCCACCTATCCACCCCTCCCACCTCACTGACCAATTGCCACCACCGCCTACCTGCACTCACCTATCACCGTCCCATCTACCTTCCCCAGCCCCACCCCACCTCTCTATTTATTTCTGAGCTACCTTGCCCAACCCCCACCATTTCTGAAGAAGGGTCCCGACCTGAAACATCAACTTCTCTGCTCCTCTGATGCTGTCTGGCCTGCTGTGTTCCTCCAACTCCACACTGTGTTATCTCTGACTCCAGCATCTGACCTAGTGATAGCAAGAACTGCAGAGAAGTTCGTTCTGAGGAAGGGTCACCAGACCCAAAATGTTAACTCTGATTTTTTTCTTCACAGATGCTGCCAGACCTGCTGAGCTTTTCCAGCGACTTCTGTTTTTGTTCCTGATTTACAGCATCCGCAGTTCTTTCGGTTTTTATTTAGTATTTAACTCACTGCCACATCTCCTCTAGGTATGCCCACCTTGAAGAAGTTCTGCTCCTCTCTCCGATGGGATTTCCATTCCAATCTTTCTTTTTGTCCACTGACATTAATTTCAGTCAGTCCTGGTGTTTGATCAAGTATTTGCTAAAACATATTTCCACAGCCATCAGTTCTGAGGAAGGGTCACCGGGCCCTGAAATGTTAACTCTGATTTTTCTTCACAGATGCTGCCAGACCTGCTGAGCTTTTCCAGCAACTTCTGTTTTCATTCCTTACTATGATTTACAATGATTGAATCTTAGACTTAGACTTAGAATCCCTACAGTGTGGAAACAGCTCCTTCGGTCTAACAAACCCACACCGACCCTCAGAGCATCCCACCCAGACCCATCCCCCTATAACACACCTAATCTACACATCCCTGAACACTATGGGCAATTTAGCATGGCCAGTCCACCTAGCCTGCACATCTTTGGACTGTGGAAGGAAACCGGAGCACCCGGGGACAACGTGCAAACTCCACACAGACAGTCATCCGAGGGTGGAATCAAACCTGGGCCCCTGGTGCTGTGAGGCAGCAGTGCTAACCACTGAGCCACCATGCCGCCCTCTGTTACATAAGGTTTTAGTTCTGGCCTAATGAAAATGTCAGGTCTTCACAAAAGTGGATTTGTGAATGCACATTTCCCTCTCAAGCAAAAGATGTGTATGCATAAATATGAAAATTATATATTTTGTAAAGAAAGCTAATCGGTCTTTAAAGTAGGCACATGAAGTTTTACAAAATGACTCTCAAGTCACATGACTTTGTTTGTGGATTCAACTTCAGCCAAACCAGACAGATTCTGTTATTTTATAAGATAATTCAAAGATTCCAGGACAGTCCTTCGGCCGGCCCTGAAAATGTCAAGATACCTTCTGCAGTTGTTTTACACTTGTGTGCTAGTCATTAAGGATGAGGATATATCAAGCGGAGGCCATGAAGTAGTGATATTGTCACTGGACTAGCAACACAAAACCCCAGACCAACATTCTGGAGACATGGGTTCGAATCCCACATGGCAGACAGTGAAATTTGAAGTCAATAAAATTGGAGCTAGCCCAATGGCAACATGTAACCACCAGCAGTTAAAGAAACTACATTGGGTTCACTGATGTCCTTTAGGGAAGTGAACTGCCATCCGTACCTGCCTGACTTACATGCGACTCTAGACCCACACCAATGTGGATTGCCATCTGGGTAATTAGGGATGAGGAATAAATGCTTCCCTCGTCCACAAAGCCGGCTAAATAAAAAAGGAATCTCCAACTCCTGTTCTTTAATTGACCACCGTCATTCACAATTGGATTCTGTAGGACTGCAGATCTTGAAACTGATCCATTGATGGTGGGATCAATTAGCCCCATCTTTTGCAAGCTGCTTTCACTGTTTAGTTAGCAAAGTAGTCTTGTGCTGTAGCTTCACCAGGTTGACACTTTTTTAAAAAAAAAGATACTTTCAGCATGCCCTCCTGCACTCTTTACTGAAGCATGGCTACTCTCCCAAATTGATGGCAATGGTAGAATGGGAGATATGTCAGACCACAAGGGTGCGGATTGTATTCCAATTCTACTTATGGCTCAGATTAACTCATGGATGGCCAGTCTTTGGCCAATTAACATGGTGCAAGTACTACAAAAAAAAATGGAGGGTATCTGCAACTTGAAGGGAGGACAATGGACTACGCAGTGGTAATTTCTACCCATGCTGTCATGGACAGATGCATCTGCAACAGATTAGTGGGGATAAGGTTAAGTTGACTTTTCCTTCTTGTTGATTCCCTCACCATTGCTGCAAATCCAGTCTGGCAGCCATGCCCTTTGACACTTACCCACGTTTGACTAGTGGACAGGAAGAACACATTGCAAGGAATTCCAGCAAAATTAACTTTGCTTTGTGGAACAATGATCCATCAATTAACATTTTCAGCTATTTCGTTTTGATTGTGATATAACTGGCTGGGGACAGTCAGTACACCCCAAGAGAGAGGCATCTCGAAACAGAAACAGTTCGCAATAAAGTGGCAGGTGAGGGAGTGCTAAACAACTGCTTTACTGAACCAGGCTACCAAGAGACACTGTATCAAAGTGAAATAAGGGGGCTATCACTGTCCCCGACCACCTGTTCATCATGATCCATCAATGGGAGCAACCTCCAACATCCAACTACAAAAGCCATGTACTTATATATTCATTCACAGGAACCTATCCTCTTGTAAGCAAATGGAATTTGTCTGAATATTGTGCCTTGATTGAATTAAACAATAACATGGGAGAACAGCAACTTCCTGGTGCATTCTCCACAGCAATGCCTCAACCAAAGCTGACCTGCCAACCGCTCAGTACCCTTTCTCATGCAATATAAATTACTGCTCACCTTGAAATTGGCCATTCTTGTGCCTGTCCTGATGAGTGCAAGGAAAAAAAAATGCTTCAACAGCAGGTTTTACCAACAAAACCCAAATCCAGGGTATGCGAATAGGACAAAATCGGAAAGAATGTTGCTCTTCAGGACATTCTATTCTTTTTAAGTTACCATTTTCCGTAATTTCATGTTGGGTACTTACTTTGGTTCTGGTTGAAAAGAGCATTGTCATTGAAACACAAAGTGACTTCTGGCATCCCACTCAAACAGCAGTTCAGCAGAATCTGTCCCAAAATCTCACTGTGAACAACAGAGCCACGAGCATTAACCTGTAAAAATTCAGACTTTTAGATTCTTGGAGTTCTTTAGAATGCTCATTACTGTTACTATTTTACTGATCACTCTAGTTTTATATATTTTTGGAGTTGTGCAGGGTAGAACAGTTTCCATACCGCTAACCATGGCAGTGGTGACAGGATTAAAGAGTGACGCTGTAAGGGAACAGTGCGAGAGTGGTGAGAATGATAAGAGAGCAAGTTGGAGAGGATGTAATGAGAGACAGTGAGAGGATTAAAAAGTGAGCTTGATACAAAGCAGTATGCAGAGAGAGAGGTTAAACAGCAAGCCTAACAGGGACAGTGTGTGATTAGCACAAGGATTAAAGAGCAAATAAGAGATAGAACTGTAGGAGAGTGAGAGGGAGCAGAAGTGGGGGGCGCGGGGGAAGCATAGTGAGGGGGAAGTGGTCACCCCAAAGGCAAAGAGGGCTAATGATAGTAGGTAAATGACCATCTGGAAGGGTAGCAAGAGGAAGATAGTATTGGAATCTTTGGGGTCTGTGCCACTCTCAGATACTAGGTATGAGAAACTGCTGGAAGTAACAATATCCTGAAGCCATGCAGCCCAGACAATGGCGTCTTCGGGCTGCGTATGAAGAAATAGCAAAGCATATAAATGCTGTAATTACAGGAGATTTCAGAATTAGGGGAACACACAGGACAATTCTGTAACCATTATCAAGAGCTTCCGTGTCTCATCTCTGTGTGCTGAGGTGAGGGCTATCACAGACAGCATGCTGAATGTTCTACAAGATGAAGGGACTGAGTTAAAAGTTGTCGTACACGTTCATACCAGTGACATAGAGATGGCAAGTGTAGCAATATAGGAGCAGAAATATGCTATTCTGCCAATTAAACCTGCCCCACCATTCAATACAATCAATGTCTTTTTCCCACCCCATAACCCTGCATGCCACTCATAAGCAGAAATCTATTATTTGCTACCTTGAGCATACTCAAAGACAGAGCTTTCACAGTCCTCTGGGGTAGAGAATTCCTAAGGTTCACAATCCTTTGATTAAAAATATTTCTCCTTATCTCAGACCTAAGTAGCATCCCTTTTCTTTTGAAATTGTGCCCCCTGATTCTACACTCACCAGCCAGAAAAATCATCTTACCTGCAATTACCCTGTCTCTTGTTAGCCTGTCATTAATCTACACCAGTACATTACCTCCTATACCATGTACTTTCATTTTTCTAACCAATGGCCTGTGAAGGACATTATCAAAAGTTTTCTGAAAATGTAATTATACTACATCCATCGACTCTCCTCTATCAATTTTGTTAGTAACATCTTCAAAAATATGCCAACAAGTTTGCAAACACGATTTCACTTTGGAAATCCAAAATCTTAATTAAAGCAGAGATAACAAGGTGTAGAGCTGGATGAACACAGCAGGCCAAGCAGCATCAGAGGAGCAGGAAGGCTGACGTTTCGGGTCTAGACCCTTCTTCAGAAAAGGGGGAGGGGAAGAGGGTTCTGAAATAAATAGGGAGAGAAGGGGAGGCGGATAGAAGATGGATAGAGGAGAAGATAGGTGGAGAGGAGACAGACAGGTCAAAGAGGCGGGGATGGAGCCAGTAAAGGTGAGCGTAGGTGGGGAG